AAAAAAGAAAGAAAGGAATGAAGAAAGGAAGGAAGGAAGGAAGGAAGGAAGGAAGGAAGGAAGGAAGGAAGGAAGGAAGGAAGGAAGGAAGGAAAAAGAAAAAAGAAAGATGAAGAATCATGATTACTTGTTACAGAATATTATTTTAACTAGGCAAAGATGTATTACATTTGTTTAGGCTGAAGAATATTACTTTAACTGTGTAAATGTGTGTTAAAATTGGTTTATGCTGCATTTGTTTAACTATATAAAGATGTGTTGCATTTGTTTCCCCTTGCCTGCCTAAGGCACCCGATTGGTCTAATAAAAAGCTGACCGGCCAATAGCTAGGCAGGAGAGGAATAGGCAGGGTTGGTGGGCAGAAAGAATAAATAGGAGGAGAAAGTTCTTGTTTATCAGGTGGTAGAAAGGAGAGATGGAGGGACACAGGGACACAGGGACACACCGGAGCCAGAAGCCAGGCATCTGCCAACCAGATACAGAGAAGCAGTGAAAGTAAGATAAACAGAAGAAAGGTAAAAAGCTTTGAGGCAAAAGGTAGATAAAGAGAAGCAGGTTAATTTAAGTTAAAAGACCTAGCTAGAAATAAGCCTAAGCTAGGCTGAGCATTCAAAACTAATAGTAAGTCTCCGCGTCATGATTTGGAAGCTGGTTGGTGGCCCAAAGAAAAAGCCTGATACAGTTACTAGAGGCTGGGGAGGCACGGGGGAAAGGGGGTGGGAAGAGGTTGGCCAATGGGCACAAGACTGTAGGGAGAGAAGAGAAATAACATCTAGCTAATCGAAGCTAAAATTTAAATGCAGCCTAAAACATAGCTTCACTAAAACTGGAGGTGAGGAAATAGAGAGACAGAGTTATAATTGAGGGGGTGAGAGTGGAGAAAAATAGCTACTAAATGTAGCCCCGAGTCTGGAATGAACTATTATTAGCTGCGGAGAGTGTTTGTTCACCTTTTATGTGTGTCTTGAGGTAGCCTCATTCTAATGACCCTGCTTTGGAAGTAGTTTCATCATCTTTACTCTTTTGCTGATAGTGGACAGGTCAGAAGAGCAGTGTGTGG